TAGATGACACTGATGAGGCAAGACATACAGCTGCAGTTGTTAATGAGTTATCCCGGGAGATATCTCATATTCTGGTTTCTCACCCATTAAACGCAGAACGAGCAGCAGAAGGAAAGAATATTGCTAATGTTGTCCTCTTACGAGGATGTGGCATTCGAATTGAGGTGCATTGTCTCAATCCTTCAATGAATCATGGCCATTTTTTCCAGATAAGGCAGTGAGAAATCTAGGAAACTAAATCTCAATTTCTTATTCATTTTAGTCATCAGGAGATGGGAATTGCTTTATCAATTGAAAAACCTCATTGATAGTGTTCCCTTGATGTTTACTTTTTTGATGAACAATAACTGAGTCAACATGAGAAACTTTTAGATTATTCAAGTATTGATTTGGTCCTGGGCTTGGTTGGGTGGTCTGGCTTTTCGTTGTGAATGTCTCATTGTTTGGATGAAAAATTGTATGGGAGGTAAAATTTCACATCTAGCAACACTAAACATCACTGGCGGCTTGAGAGGGGCAGGACTGTTGCATGGCTTGAGAGGGGCAGGACTGTTGCATTCTGCTGCCATGTCTGTGCAATAATTAAAGTTGCAACAAAAAATTGATGGATTTTAATATTCTTATTTGAAGATTATTGGGTATAAAAGGAACAAAGAATCTGAAATTTTCAATGAAGAGTTGTATCATATGAGATGTTTTATATATAATCTTTTTATGCTGTACAGATTTCAGTATATTTCTTATTATTATTGTGCAGGTTCCTTCTTTTGAAAATAAACATGGTTTATGGCCATGCATGGTAGCTCCCACTAAAATCATAGCTGGTTTAGGGCTATCATTAGATATTGATATCCTAGAAGCTCCTGGAGCAACTGGAGATTATCAAACACTTTTGACTTCCAAAGCAACGGTCATAGCTAAGGCACTCTCAGCTCCATTGGCGCCTTCTCCCAATGTATTTGTACCAGGGGAGGACGAGCACAAACCAGGACGACCAGATGGCTATGACTTTGGGTTTCTCCACATTAAGGTCTTAACCTTCTCAGTCCGTGTATTATCTTTATCTTTTTGCCATTTTTACGTCAACTGCACTATTAAAACAATGCTGCTTTTTGTAGCAGAATGAGATTTTTTATTGTATAGCCTCTTTCATTCCTTTCTGTTCTTTAATTAAAACTTTCATATTAATCATTGTTAGACAGAAAATACTATCAGGAGCTTGCTAGCATTTTAGGCAGAAATTGTAAATTATGCTGTCAAGTCCCAGACCAAAGACTTTCTAGGAGATGGATCCTTTCCAGGATTCAATGCCCCCAAAAAAGATCGAGACTGATTGAGCTTAGACTGTAAGAGTTCAGGACATATTCGGCATTATGTTTGGAAAAATAGCTCATTTTATTTCTTGACAAGGCTAAATTGATGGCTCTAAAAATCATTTTATTGCTTGGAGGCTTCTTTTTTTCTCCCTAATTGCTTTACCAGTTTATTTTGTTCCCTTGTGACTTGTCTGGTCTAGATAGAAAATTGTTTGAAAGGTTGAATGCCTGACCTGTATGCTTAGATTACAAGGTCTCAATGTCTTATTGGTGATCGATTTACTTGATTTTTGGTATTTCAGGCAATAGATGATGCAGGCCATGACAAGGCAAGCATTTTGAAAGTTAAAGCATTGGAAGCTGTGGATCGAGCTATAGGCCAGCTGGCCAAGCTCCTCTTGCAGGCAGAATCAACTGGAAAGTTCCAGTACTTCCTTTGTGTCACTGGAGATCACTCTACACCAGTTGAATATGGAGACCATAGTTTTGAAACAGTTCCATTTTCCATGTGCCGGTTGAGAGATTTTGTGGGTGCGGTAGGTGGAGAGTCTGTCATCATGGAAACTTCCCTTGATCCATTTCCTCTTCCAGTTGTTAAGGCTGGTGAAAACCTAGTGGAAACTGAGAGCGCAGAAAAGGAGAGGAGCAGCAAACAGCTTAAAGCTTTCAGTGGTGATTCAGTTTGTGAACTTAGTGAGATAGCAGCAGCAAGAGGATGCCTTGGACGGTTTCCTGGGGGACAAATGATGGGTATTATCAAGGCATTTCTTGAACTAAATGCTTGAGCTGCTTCTCTACGAACTTCCAGTGGGCCTGGGGTTCTGAATAAGGTGATTTTTTTGGCTGAAAAGTGATAAAGAAAAAGCCACGATCTGATGTTTCAAAATAATTGAAATTTGAAGGCTTCTGCTTTACAGAAATATGAACAATCTGTTCTAACGTGCAAAATTAACACAAACCAAAAGTACTACTGCTATGATCCTTCTCTCTTAGATCCTCAGTTGCCCATGGTCAGTCCCCGCTAGTGGTCACATATATTGTCCAGTTTTGCGCAATCCATAATTTTGAAGACACCAAGATTCTTGTTTCCCTGCTCATTGATGATGAGATTTGCCTGACCCTTTACAATTTATTTATTTTTTATTCCAAAAGGTAAAAAGCACTTGGTGATTGTCTGTTGAAAACTTGAACATGATTTATTTGCTGTGCCCAAGTCTATCTCCTTGGTTAGTCACTCACGTCTGTCAAATATTGAATTGACTGAGCTAGCTTGTTTTTGTTGCTGTTGTAAAAGCATTTATTTTCCAAAGGCTTCCATGTTTTATGATGTGGTTATGTAGATTTAATAAAGCTGCTGGGTGTTGTACGATTGAGAAGCATCCCAATTCAGCTACAATGGCTCGAGAGGAGTTTCGCATTGTAATTTACTAATTTGATTAGTTCTAATAAAACTACCTGCGACAAGCAATGGTTTTTTCTTTCTCTATTTTTGGGGAGGTCCAAATGGTCTTCGATATATAAAAGAGCAGTCGTTTTCGCCATATATAAAAGATCAGTCATTTTCGCCATCGCTCCTAAAATGTAACATCCACCATTTTCGGCTTGCATATACTATGCCATAAACACAGGAGAAGTGCTTGAGTATGCAGTTTGCAATACATTCTGGGATCTATTCAAGCAAAGCTCTGATACTGATAACTTTTCTTGAAGTTTCAAGCTGGTGCTCGAATGCAATTTATATGCCCGGACGCTCCCAAACCAGACATGGGCAAACAGAGAGCTGGGGTTGGCCTGATTACTACAAGCAACAGCATCCCCAGAGCCTGTTGTTAGTTGCATGCATATGGTTGATGGGTGTGGAATGTGGTATAGTTGAATTTAATCTTCATTTTTAGGTTGTAATAGTTGACAAGGATCCACTAGAGCCATCTATGTTGAAAACACAATCTACTTTCAGGGATGCTTGAGAGCGTGGTGAGAGTTACAGCTCCCACTTCCACTCCACTGACCGTGGGGCAGAAATATGCATGCGACAAGGCCTCTTTCCCTGTACAGGAATTTCCCAAGTGCTATTTCAAGAGTCACCAGGAGGTCCATACACTGGTTATCTAGTAGTTACTGGTGAAGGAGGAGGAGGAGGAGAAGCACAAGAAGTTTTTGATGAACGTGTATAATGAAAAATTGCATGAAAATTGAAGAAGAGATTTTTTTGTTCTCTGAGGGATAGAGCTAAAGGATAGTGATTAATATTGGAACCTGATAAATGCATGTTGAATTGTGTGTATTTAATATGTTTTAATGTATTGATGATGAATTAGAATGGATTTAACTAATTTATTTATTTATTTAGTTGTGATTAAATGCTTTTATGAAACCGTGAGACATTGGTTATAAATATAATTTATGTTTGTTTTGAAGCTGTGAAGATATGAAATGATGAGCATTGATGATAATTTTGAGATAGAAATTAGAATAAATAAATAGATATGAAATGATGAGCCTTGATGATGATTTTGAGATAGAAATTAGAATAAATAAATTAAAAAAAAAGTCTCAAGGCATCCATATTAGAAAAAATTATTGGTATTTATATTTATATTATTAAGATAATTTATTAGATTAACTAACTAAAAATAACTAGTAATATTTATGTTCAGATAGTGAGTATAATTTATCAAACTAGTTGATTAACATAAGTTATTGACCACAGTTATTAAACTCGAACTAATCCTGGAAGTTGACCCGGGATATAGTGACTAGACCGATCCGGGTAAGATGAAAGATCAGTAAGAGAAAAAAAAATAGTTAAATCTGATCAACTTAGAAAAACCCAATAAAAATTCATTTTCTTTTAAATATGTTTTTTTTTCTAACCAGAGGCCATTTATTTCATATACTTTTATTAGTTATTAATCATTTTTAAAGTTCATCATATAAATATTAAAAGAATGTTTTATTTTTTCAATAAAAAAATTGAAACACTTTAATATATATACTCAATATTCACAAGAAAAAAAGTTATATTTTATAATATTCTTGATTTAAATATTTCAACTTAAAAAGATAACATAATATCTTTTCAATATGAAATAAAAACATTTTAAAATAATATTTTAAACTTTATTATTTATAATATGAATAACTTATATTCATATAGATTGTTTTTTAATTTTCTTTGTATGAAATATTAAAGAGTCGATCCTTTGACTAAATCAACTCTAGAGTTGGATTTAATAACTATAATATTGACATTTTTAATAATCAAGATAATTTATTAAATTAGCTTACATGAAAAAGTTAGTAATATCAACATGTTTAATTATTATGATATTAAAACATATGCATGAATTTTATGTGAACTAAAATGATAAAATAAAAATCCACTTCAAATTTTTTCAATGATAAATTTATTTTCTTTTCAATTCAATATGTTTATAACTCCCTTGTTTTTATTTATTATTTTTTTTTTAATCCAAGCATTACATTTAGGTTTGGCTGACGCGCCCCACGGCTGCTTCTCCTTCCAGGAAAATGTTCCTGTCTTCCCACGTTAGTCAATCCAAATTCAGTGCATACACCACCAGAAAAAAAGATAAAAAAGATAAAAAATAAAAATAAATAAGAAAGGAAAAAGGAAAAACGGTGCGGTTCATAGCACTTCAACCAAACAATACAAAAGGAAAAACGGCGCGGTTCATAGCACTTCAACCAAACAATACTTCATTTCCAACACCATCTCGTCTATATTAATTAATGCACAGTAGGGGTCTACTCATCTTGCATGTGCCAAAAACTTGAATAACATATTAGTGCTTGGTCTTCTCATCTTCCAAGGTCTAAGATTGACCAACTTGGAAGTGAGAAAACACTAGCGGGATATGGCCATTCAAGCAACATTCATAGCAGATCCAGTTCTCATTTCAAACCCATCAAGAATCTCCATCAGAGGTAAAAATTCCTTCTTCATCTTTCTTTTCTTGCGATCTTCTTTTCTTCTATGATCTTGTACTTGTTAGGTTGTTGTGTTTGAGCTTCTATGGATATTTGATTTGATACAGACCAAATTTGCAGTTTCTTTAATCATGTGAAAACTTTTGATTAACGGATTGTCTGCTGAAGAATTTGGTAACCTGAAGTTAACTTGCCTGCATCTTTCTTGAACTTGGAAAGTTCAAGAAAATTGGTCAATGAAGCTTTTATCTAACTCAAAAACCACCACTGTGTCATTTATAGCATATAAGGCAGCTCAATTTTCGTGCAAAATGTTGTTGGTTGCGGTAATAACTGTAGATGTTTCCTGTCCAGAGGTGTTCAGAACAGTTTCCCTTCATACTATTCTGCGAAGGATTAGGCAAAAGGCTCCTGCTACTGCATAAGATTGCATAAGTGAATTAGTAGTTACAGAATTGTTCACTTTTCCATTTCTGCATCTTTTTATTTTTCAAGGCTACTCAGGCTGAAGCAGTTCTCCATTACTTGCCAAATACTCTCCTGTATTGATTTGTACTGGACAGATTTATTCACGACATGAAATTCCTAACTATTGATTGCTCGATATGTTGTCAATGACTTGTCTTCGTTTCTCTCGAAAGGTTGGGAGCAATGTATTGGGTCTCTTGTGTTGAAAACGAGGCCTAGGCATCTGAGGCTTTCAAATGGAGGCAGAGTCAGAGCAAGAGCTTCTCTGAATGCTGATTCGAAAGCGGTTGGCATTCCTCGTCAGTGGTACAATGTTGTTGCAGATCTTTCAGTGAAGCCTCCTCCCCCACTGCATCCTAAAACATTTGAACCAGTCAAACCTGAAGATTTATCTCCTCTATTTCCTGATGAGTTGATTAGGCAGGAGGCAAGCACTGACAAGTTCATAGATATCCCGGAAGAAGTTCTTGATATTTACAGTCTCTGGCGCCCAACTCCATTGATCAGGTTTATTCTGATATTACAATCATAGACTATGCGTTAAGGTGTTTTTGTTACTGGCCCCTGGTCAGAAGTATCTTACATGATTTTTGTTGCATTTAGAGCAAAGAGGTTGGAAAAGCTTCTCAATACACCTGCCAGAATTTACTACAAGTATGAAGGTGGCAGCCCAGCCGGATCCCATAAACCCAACACTGCAGTCCCGCAAGTTTTTTACAATGCGCAGCAAGGCATCAAGAATGTTGTGACAGAAACTGGTGCTGGCCAATGGGGAAGTTCATTGGCCTTTGCGTGCAGCTTATTTGATCTTGACTGTGAGGTAGACAGCGTTTAATTTATTCATCAGTCTCAACAAGTATTTTCATGCACTGAAATAGGATGAATCAAATCGGGTTCAATCATAGTCGGGCTAACTAAAGAGCTATTGCATCATCAAAATTCGCGACTGCAATTCCTCATTTCTATAGCAAAGAAGACAGTGTATTGCATGGTCAGTAAAATATTCTTCCTTTAACGAGGGGATGACTAGATTAAATCTAATAATATATGAAAGGGTCGTCTAGGCAAAGTAGCCACAGCCCTGCTATTTTATTTCAGAGCTCACCTTCCTAGTGCCCATCGAAGCTTTTGGTTTTAAAATACACTGATCCTGCACTTAAATTTTGTTACTATTCCTAACTGGAACCATTGGCATCTTCTTCTAAATCCTTGTACAGGTGTGGCAGGTTCGCGCTTCTTATGATCAGAAACCATATCGTAGATTAATGATGGAGACCTGGGGTGCAAAGGTACACCCATCTCCATCAAGCATTACTGAGACTGGTAGGAGAATTCTCCAGATGGATCCGTCAAGTTCAGGAAGTTTAGGAATAGCTATATCAGAAGCTGTAGAGGTTGCAGCTAAAAATGCTGACACCAAATACTGCTTGGGGAGTGTGCTGAATCATGTTTTGTTGCATCAGACAGTCATAGGTGAGGAGTGCATAAAACAAATGGAGGCTATTGGTGAAACCCCTGATGTGATAATAGGATGTACTGGTGGAGGGTCCAATTTTGCAGGACTCAGTTTCCCATTCATCCGAGAGAAGCTCAATGGGAAAATCAACCCTGTCATAAAAGCTGTTGAACCTGCAGCATGTCCTTCACTGACAAAAGGTGTATACGCATATGATTATGGAGATACAGCAGGAATGACTCCATTAATGAAGATGCACACTCTAGGACATGACTTCATTCCTGATCCTATTCATGCTGGTAATATGATGTTTCTATTAAAGACTCAGATATGTTTAAAGTTTCATTTTCTTCTTCTTCTAATCCTATATTGCAATACATTTTCTACTCTGTAGGTGGATTGCGCTACCATGGCATGGCTCCATTAATCTCTCATGTGTATGAATTGGGTTTCATGGAAGCAATGGCAATCCCTCAGATCGAGTGTTTTCGAGGTAACTGTCTTCCTTCATATGGACCAGCACCGATACAAGTTTCATTCATGTTGATAGCAGAATTATTAATGAACTGTGAAATTTACAGTCAGATTGTAGAAGTGGGGATCCATCATCCATGCATAAGTTGTCTTGGAGGCAATAAATAAAACGCTAAGCTTACAGTTCTATTTCAATGCAGGTGCCATACAATTTGCTCGGTCGGAAGGACTGATACCAGCACCGGAGCCAACTCATGCAATCGCTGCTACCATAAGGGAAGCACTGCATTGTAAAGAGACTGGAGAGGCAAAGGTTATTCTCATGGCAATGTGCGGACACGGCCATTTTGACCTGAAATCTTATGAGAAGTATTTGCAAGGAAAGATGGTTGACTTGTCATTCGATGAGGAGAAAATAAGAACATCATTGGACAAAGTTCCTCAGGTGACAAGAAATTGAGCCAGTACAGGTGGTGCTATGTAGGATGCACATTTTAGATTAGAAGGAGAAAATCTTTCTTGTTAGGTGAACAAGAGATTTGACATTTTAGATTAGGAGATAATCTTTCTTGTTAGGTGAACAAGAGATTTTTTGCTATTAGATGCTTTTTATCGAAACTTAGTTGTTGCAATTAGGCTTTCAATAAAATACAAGACTTGGACAACAGCATTTGCCTTGGTCTGAAGCAGTGGTTCTCTCTTCTGCCACCACAGTAATCTGTGTTCTTGTCATAAAACGTAACTCTTTGTTATATCGATGTCTTACGCTTCGATTGTATCTTTCTTTGTTGCGAACCCTTGGGGGTTCAATCATAAAAAAGAGTGAAGTTTTATAACAAGAAAAAAATATGAAAACAATACACACACACACACGCTATCATCAGTAGTTGTGGTAGAAGCGGCGTGACGAGCTCTTGCCAATGTTCCAATGCATGGCTTGGTGGCTCATGCAGTGTCCTCCATCACTCCGATGATGGAACACCATAATCATCAATTGCATTGGAAGTGACGCGACGAGCTCTTGCTAATGGTCTGATGCAAGGTTTAGTGGCTCATGTGGCTTCCTTCGATGATGGAACACCATCATCATTAGTTACGTTGGAAGCGACGCGACGTGATCAGCTCTTACCGATGGTCCGATGCATGTTGATAGGAAAGCGACGATGAGGTTATAACAAACTTCTTTTCTTTTCTTTTTTCCTGTTCTTTTATTGAGACTCGCATGGGTTTACCAAAATTAAAAGGTTTCATGTTATTTTCTTCATGTTAAATTTAATTTTTATTTTTTATTGTTGATTTTAATTATGGATTTTTTTTAAAAAAAAAATTTTCAATCTCATTTCTAAATATTAAATTGATTAGAAACTAAATTTCATGGTTTTTCTCAATAATATCATTATTTTTTCATAATCCAAATTACAAATTTAAAAGGTTAATATAAATTGAGAACGATTTTTTTTTAGGTTTTTTTTCACATTGTTTTTCTTTTTTAATTTCATCTTTAAAAAAATGGGTTTGTTAGAAGCTAGATTTCATGATTTGTTTTATGAAGTGATTCATTTTTATAATCCGAGTCATAGGTTTAAAAAGTTAACTCAAGTTAATATTGGTCTTTGTTTAAGGTTCTTTTTTTTTTCATTAATCTTCTTTTCAATTTTATCACTTAATGGTGAATTTATAGGAAGTTGAGCTTTATGATTTTTTTTATTTTTATTTTTATAAAGTTATTTCACTTTCATAACTTAGGTTGCAGATTTAACAGGTTAACCAAGATTGACTTAGTACTTTTTTGGTTTTTTTAAATTGAATATTTTTTTTAATTTTATTATTTAATATTGAGTTAGGTTAAGAACTGGGCTTCATATTTTTTTCATATATTTTCTTCTATTAGGTTATTTTGTTCGTATAATTTAAAGTTTAGTGGATTTACTTGGCTTTGCTACTGTTTTTTTGGGTTATTTTTATAATTGATTTTTTTTCTTTGATTTCATTCATTTATATTGAACTTGTTGGGAATTAGGTAGTATATATACATATTTTTTTAATTTTCTTTCAATGGGTTATATTGCCTTTACAAAAGAGGCTACAAGTTCAATATAATAACTCAAATTAACTTGGATCACTTTTTTTGTTATTTTTTTTGTTTCAATTTTTTTTAATATTGAATTGGATAGAAAATGAGCTATATAATTGAGTTATATAATTTTTCTCTTTTAACAAACATTTGTTTTTGTATGGGTTATCATGATCATTTTTTTTAATTTGATTCATTTACTACTATTGTTTTTTTTATTATATAATTAAATGAAACTAGCTTATTAAACTAGGTAAATCTATAACTTGAATCATATATTTCTCTTACTTATTTAAAACACACAACCAATATATGTACATTTTTTTTTACATTATATTTTTTTTTAGTTTGTACCATATTATATCAATATCAGTGACCACCAATATATATATAAAATTCATCTAATCCCTCAATTATTGATACTAACTATTGAACTCATATTTAGATCATGATTGAATATAATAAGTTAATTCAAAATTGGTTATCTAGAATCATCTAAGTTGTTGATTTAATTAAATATGAATGATTTAATTAAAACTTAATTGTTCAAGTTCTGAATTAAAACTCAACAAAGTGAGAAAGAAAGTAAGAAGAATAATTTTGATAAGGGGGAGAAAACCTAATCCTTTATTTTAAACAAGTTTTACATCATTTTACTTAATATAAAAATTATTTTACAAATAATATTTAGTAAGATACTAAGCTGCAGTATGCTGCAAGTCAAATCATTTTTTTTAACATAAAAAAATCAAATTCATAAATAAATATTAGACATTATTATTAAACAAGATTTAGTAAATAAATTTAAAACCTTATAATTTAATTACTGTAAAGATTGTCCTAACATGACTTAGTTTGTAACTTTAAAACCTTATAATTTAATTACTTGTCTATCTCGAATTTAAAATTAAACTATGTAAAGATTGTCCTAACATGACTTAGTTTATTTGGCATATCCAAAAGCTACTTGGTTAATAATATAAAAAGTCTGAGGAAGAAGTAGAGATAAAAAGGATAAAATTAACCAAAAAAACCTTTATGATCCAACTTTTTGTTTAAATTAGATTTAAAATTCAATCATGAGGAAGTTACTTTGATGTCATCTAGTCAACTTAGTTGGTCTATAGACAACTCGATTAACGGATAAAAAAAAATCTAAGGACGATATTAAGATAAAAAGGATGAAATTGATAAGAAAAAACTTCCTCACCTGGTTTCTTACCTAGTTTAAGTTTAAATTTAAATTATATAGAAATTATTTTAATATGACTTAGTTGACTTGGTTTGTCTAAAGACAATCCAAATGGCTACTAAAAATAGTTTAAGAATGAAATTGAGAGAAAAAACAAAAGATATGACTTGATTCCTTGTCTAGCTCATTTTAATATTAAATCATGTAGGAATTGCTTCAATATAACACATAATTTAATTGATTCAGTCAACCTAAAATAACTTAAATGAATGTTAAACAAAATTGAGGATGAAATTGAAAAAATAAATATGAAACTCAAATAGAAAAGAAGGGGGGAATTGAAAAAAAGATGCTAAATTGAAAAAAACAAAAAACAGGGGCTCGTTTTTATGAACCAAAATTTTCTAATATAGTAGCTAGGGGATAATAAATAGTGTGGTTTGTATCCTTTCCAAGCAAGAATATCCACGATAATATGTCATAAAAATATATTTTCAAGAGATTATATTATCAATGAGTTGATGGAGTCTTGAAGTCTAAATGAGAGAGATTGCCTCGACAATTAAAATATTGGGGTATAATTAAAAAAAATATTAAATTCTTAAACCGATATGGAGGTGCCTCTTTGGTTTTTTTTATTCTTAAAAAAACTTTTTGGTCTGATTAATATGCAAATTAATTAAAAAATATCCCTACCCGGGGACAGAAAAGAAAGAAAAAATAATTTTAGGGACTCGAACCATTAGTTAGATCAACTTACAGGGTGGAATATTGTAATAACTTAACCACGTAACCAAAATATCTTTTTTATATTTCGGAGTTTTTTTTCATTTGAATAATCATAAGCATTTTTGCTATCTTCCAAGGCTTAACTTTTATCCCGAAGCCTAGCTTTTCATATTATTATTTAGAATTGATTTTTTTTTTGAAAAAATCAAAAGATACATGCACACACACATATACATGCATGCATGCATGAAAGTACATCTCAATTCAGTCCTGATGATAACCCATTTTTATACATGCGCATGCATGAAAGTACACCTCAATTCAGTCCTGATGATAACCCATTTTTAATTTACGTCCAGAACTTTTGATTTTTATCAATTTCACTCACAATAGTATTTAATTAATATTAGACATTTAATGTTGGTTGCCTTTGAGGGTAAATGGATAAAATTAAAAGAATTGAAACTCAACTGATACTTAGGGTAATAAGGTAAAAGCGAGAACCCCTCGCACAAAACAAAGAAACGTCGTCGTAACAGCAAGTCCTGGTCCCTGGTTGTAAATATTGTAGCTGTGAGTGCTTAACGTGAGAGCTCCCCCCCTCCCCCCTCTCTCTTCTGTATCAGCAAATCGCTGGTGCTGTATTTTTTTCTCTCATCATCCGTTATCGCGCAATTGCAGCCTCTCCTTTCAGGTAATCCTCAGCAACTTCACCGTCTTGTTCTATTTGTCTTCGGTTTTCGTCTTATTATTTTTTTTATCATTATTATTTCGTTTCAGTTTATGTTTTAATAATATAACACACCAGTAAATTCTTTTTAAAAAAAATATTACTGGATAATTAGCTCAATTCCATCGAATTAAACAAATGCGATTTTTTTTTAACATTCTAGTTTTTTTCTGGTATTAAATTTGATGATTATAGATTATGAACTGGGATTAATTTTAAGAGCTGGGTTTTGCGGATAAATACATTTCATTCTGGATTTTGAGGTCTTGAATTGCATGGGAATGTTATTGCTTCTGTATAAAATGGGTACTGATTGAATTTTAATAAATATGATGTAACATGGAATTTATGATTCTAGAAGGAGGTTTATTTTTGTTTTTCTGTCACACAAATTCTATATGTTTTGTTATTCCAGCTTTTGATGTGTTTTTAATCATGATGCTTGACCGTGAATAGAATTGAGGAACTGATTTTAAATGGAAATTTTATGATTTCACTTTGGCGCATTGCTCTTCCTGTAATTATTTACTGTTTTTGAGTGCAGAATGTGGAGGAAGTAACTCTAGTGTTTCTTGGTAATGCTGCTTTGATTATTTTCTATGATTTTATCGGTAGGGTTTCTTGATACAGGTCAGAGTTAGTTAAGTTAAAATGGCGAGTAAAGGTCGAATTCCACCTCCTCATTTAAGGCGTCCTCTTCCAGGATCTGGTATAGTTCATCCTGATTCATTTGGCTCTGGACTACATCTGCCACAAGGCCCTTTTCCTCCTTTTGAGATGTTGCCTCCTCCAGAAGTTATGGAACAGAAGATTGCTGCACAACATGCAGAGATGCAAAGACTTGCAACAGAGAACCAGAGACTTGCAGCAACTCATGGAACCTTGAGACAAGAACTTGCTGCTGCTCAACATGAGTTGCAGTTATTACATGCTCACATTGGAGCTGTCAAGGCTGAAAGAGAGCAACAAATGAGGGGACTTGTGGATAATATAGGCAAGATGGAAACTGAATTGAAAGATGCAGAGC